CCTCTCCTCCCCTCCCCTCCCCTCCCTTCCCCTCTCCTCCCTTCCCCTCTCCTCTCCTCTCCTCTCCTCTACTACCTGTCAGATCTCCTCCTTACCAACCATAGGCAACCACTAATCAACTTCCTTCTCTGTAGATGATTTCTCTGTTCTGGACATATCATATGAATAGAATTAATGATATTTAGTCTCTTTTTGTACTTACTGGCTATTAGCATATCTTCCCAGAAGAAATGTTTGCTTATATCCATTTTATAAGGATCTGGAAAATGGAAAAAAGATCCATTTTAAGTGAACTTTTATCTTTTTATCATTGAGTTGTAAATTCTTTATGTATTCTGGCTATAAGATACTTATGAGACATATAACTTGGAAATATTTTCTCCCAAGATGTTGGTCATTTCCTCACTTTCTTTTTGCTATCATTTGAAACACAGAAGGTTTAATTTTGATGAAGTACAATTTATCTATTTGTTGTTGTTGTTGTTTATATTTTTGGTGTCATATCTAAGAATATTTTGCCAAATCCAAGGTAATAAATATTTATGTTTTCTTCTAAGAGTTTAAAAAATTATGGAAAATACACATAACATGAAATTTACCATCTTAAATATTCTACAGTGTACAGTGGAGTGGTATTAATCATTCATATTTTTGTGCTCCCATCATCACCATCTATCCACAGAACCATTTTCCCACTTTGCAAAACTGAAAGCCTGTATCTAAGAAACAGTAACTCCACATCACCCCTCCCATCAGCCCCTGGAAACCACCATTGTACTTTCTGTCTATAAATTTGACTATTCAAGGTAGTTCCTGAAAACAGAATTATACAATATTTGTCCTTTAATGTCTGTACAGATATCTCTTTGAGTCCTGCTTTTAATTACTTTGAGTACCTTCCAAGAAGTGGAATTGTTAGATTTTATGGAATTCTATGTTTAATTTTTTGGAGAACTGTCACACTGTTTCATTATCAACTACAGTTTATGTGTTTTTTTTTCTTAAATAATAGCTAGTCTTAATGGATGTGAGGTGGTATCTCACTGTACTTTTGATTTGAATTCTCCTAATGATGACTGAAGTTGAGCATCTTTATATGTGTTTTTTAAGTCTGTATATCATTGGTGGAGAAATGAGTAAATATCCACTTTATTTAGTTGTCTGATTTGTTGGTGTGCTATTGTTCATAGTATTCATTTATGATTATTTTTATTTCTGCAATGTTGGTGGTAATGTGTCTCATTTCTGATTCTAGTAACTTGAGTCTCTTCTTTTTATTTTGGTTGATCTGGCTAAAGGTTGGTCAATTTTGTTGATCTATTCAAAGAACTCACTTTTAATATCTTTGATTTTTCTATATTTTACTGTTCCTTATTTCATTAAATCACACTTTACCCAGGATTATTTCCTTCCTTCTGCCTGCTTTAGGTTTAGATCTTTCTCCTTTTTTTAGTGTCTTAAAATGAATGGTTAGGTTGTAGATTTGAAATTTTTTTTCTTTTTTTAAAATTTAAAATCAATTAAAAAACATATAATGTATTATTAGTTTCAGAGGTAGAGTTTAGTGATTCATCAGTTGCATGTAACACCCAATGCTCATTACATCACGTGCCCTTTTTAATGCCCATCCCCCAGTTACACCATCCCCCCCCACCTCCCCTCCAGCAACCCTGTTTGTTTCCTATAGTTAAGAGTCTCATGGTTTGTTTCCATCTCTGATTTTGTCTTATTTTATTTTTCCTTCCCTTCGCCTTTGTTTATCTGTTTTGTTTCTTAAATTCTACATGAGTGAAATCGTATGCTATTTGTCTTTCTCTGGCTGGCTTATTTCGCTTAGCATAATACCTTCTATTTCCTTCCACGTCATTGCAAATGTTAAGATTTCATTTTTTGATGCCCGAGTAATATTCCCTATATATATCTCACATCTTCTCTATCCATTCATCATTCAGTGGACATTCAATGGACATTTGGGCTCTCTTCATAGTTTGGCTATTGTTGATAATGCTGCTACAAAACATTGGGGTGTATGTACCCCTTCAAATCAGTATTTCTGTATCCTTTGGGTACATACCTAGTAGTGTAATTACTGGATCTTAGGGCAGTTCTATTTTTAACTTTTTGAGGGAACCTCCATACGGTTCTCCAGAATGACTGCACCAGTTTGCATTTCCATCAATGGTGCAAGAAGGTTCCCCTTTCTCCACATCCTCATCAACACCTCTTGTTTCTTGTCTTGTTAATTTTAGCCATTCTGGCAGGTGTGAGGTGGTATATCATCATGGTTTTGATTTCCATTTCCCTGATGATAAGTTATGTTGAGCATCTTTTCATGTGCCTGTTAGTCATTTGTATTTTCTTTGGAAAAGTGTCTATTTTTGTCTTCTGTCCAGTTCTTAACTGGATTATTTGTTTTTTGGTTGTTGAATTTGATAAGTCCTTTATAGGTTTTGGATACTAACCCTTTATCAGATATGCCATTTGCAAATATCTTCGCCCATTCCATTGGTTGCCTTTTAGTTTTGTTGATGGTTTCCTTTGCTGTGCAGAAGCTTTTTATCTTTATAAAGTCTGAATAATTCACTTTTGCTTTTGTTTCCCTTGCCTCAGGCAATATGTCTAATAAGAAATTGCAAGGCTGAGGTCAAAGAGGTTTCTGCCTGTGTTCTCCTCTAGGATTTAAGTCTCACATTTAAGTCTTTCATCGATTTTTAATTTATTTTTGTTTTATGGTGTAAGAAAGTGGTCTGGTTTCATCCTTTTGCATGTTGCTGGCCAGTTTTCCCGGCACCATTGTTGAAGAGACTTTTTCCCTTTGGATATTCTTTTCTGCTTTATTGAAAATTGGTTGACCATAGATTTGAGGGTCCATTTCTGGGTTCTCTGTTCTGTTCCATTGATCTGTATGTCTGTTTTTGTTTCAGTACCATATTGTCTTTTTTTAAAAAATAAGATTTTACTTATTTATTTGACAGAGAGAGAACACAAGCAAGGGGAACTGCAGAGGGAGAGGGTGAAACAGGCTCCCCACTGAGCATGGAGCCCAATGCAGGGCTTGAACCCAGGACCCTGGCATCATGACCTAAGCTAAAGGCAGATGCTTAACTGACTGAGCCACCCAGGTACCCCAGTACCTTACTGTCTTGATGGCTACAGCTTTGTAACATAGCTTAAAATCCAGAATCGTAATGCCTCCAGTTTTGTTTTTCTTTTTCACAATTGTTTGGCTATTTGGTGTCTTTTCTTGTTCCATACAAATTATAGGATTGTTTGTTCTAGTTCTGTGAAAAACACTGGAAGTATTTTTTTTTAATAATTTTTTTATTGTTATGTTAACCACCATACATTACATCATTAGTTTTTGATGCAGTGTTCCATGATTCATTGTTTGTGCATAA